ATCAACATCAAACTAACACAGTCCAGTGATACTTGTCTTTCTCTTTCAGATCATCCATCAGCAAACGAGACTCAGGAAGATTACAAGGACTCAGGAAACATGGATCAAGGAGCAGATTCTGGGAACATCAGAACATGGACAGAGAGGTTAGTATTTTCAGGTGAGTATACATTACATTACTTATTACCTTGAACCTCGACGTCATAGGGGTCTACCTCTGGGCCGTGGTGCAGGTTTGCCAGGATGGTGAGCATGGTGTTCAAGGAGCAAACTGGGATTAAGGACGTCTTTCCGGGGTATCCAACTTCTTTCCTCTGGTCCATACCCCTCCCAGTCTATAAGATACTCCAGTTGACCCCCTCGACGTAGAAAGTCCAAAATCTCCCTTATCAAATAAATGGACTCTGGTTCAATAGGTGGTTGAGTTTGCGACCAGGTTGACGTAGCCAAATGTCTTGTGGAGAGCCAGACTAACTGTCCAGGTTGATATTCAGGGGTTTGACGGCGACGAGCATCAGCGAAATGTTGTTGGCGATTCACAGCTTGTTCAATGTGGTGATGGGTTTGATTCCAGACTCTTTTGCTTTCTTGAAACCATTTGTTAACTACTGGTACTTCGGATGGTTCGCTGGACCATGGAAATAGGCGGGGTTGGTAACCAAGCACACATTGGAAAGGAGTTAGCTGTGTGGATGACTGTCTGAGGGAGTTTTGTGCTTACTCTGCCCAGATTAAATAATGGCTCCAGATGTTCTGGTTGGAGTGGCAGAAAGTACGCAAGAATCATCCTACATCTTGGATCATTCGTTCGGTTTGGCCATTTGTTTGTGGATGGTACCCTGAAGATAGGCTTACAGTCATGTTCATGAGAGTGAAGAAAGCTCGCCAAACTCTGGAAATGAATTTGGGTCCTCTGTCGGATACAACGTCCTCTGGGAGACCGAAATTGCGAAAGACATGTTCCATAAGCAACTCAGTGCTGACAAAAGCCGTAGGAAGACCTTTCAGGGGAATTAGTCTGCATGCTTTGGAAAATCGATCGATGGCCACTAGGATACAGGTGTTACCTTCAGACATGGGAAGATCAATGATGAAATCAACCCCAATGTGGGACCAAGGTCTATTTGGGACAGGCAGGGGTACTAGCTTACCCACCGGCAGATTCCTGGGAACTTTGGACATGGCACAGGGAATACAACCTTGGATGAAAGTCGTGATGTCTTGTTGCATGTTAGGCGACCAATACTTTAGTTGAATAAAAAAGGTATGTTAATTGCAAAGGTAAGTGTGTGTGTCAGTGTGTCATATGAACTCGTAATTGTGAGTTATAAAGTCAGATTAAAAAATATAAACTCACGGTTTCGATTTTTTTCTCGCAATTGGGAGTTCATCTTATTGTGAGATGAAAGTCACATATTTTACATTTCCTTGGCGGAAACAAAGCTCACATAGAAACAAGCTGCCTTCCATAATAATTGGCTATTTATTTAAGTTGTTATAATGTATTAAATAAATATATAAATTGCAACTTCATTTATTCAATAAAGAAATAAAATGACAAAGAGATAAAAAAAAATCTCCTATACTTTTTTACATTTATTAATGCTATTTATTTTGTTATTTCAAGCATGACTATATGGTTGGTTTTATTACTTGCATTTAGCTGTCTCCCTTAGCCTATGTCCAGGATCAAAACAGAGATGTAACCCATAGGCTACGCTCCTCAACAGCTGAATTTTAATGCTGCTAGCTGATTTCTCTTGATTTCTTAGAAATCTGTTTTTGTAACTTTGGAGCGCAATTCAGCCCTCAAGTTGTTTGTACTGTGTTAAAGAAAACTTAATCTCAGCAAACCAAACAATGTTTACAGGCACAACAGATGTGATTGAGGGAGAGGGCAGCAGGGGAGGAGAGAAACATGAAGGAATGCTGTGAAAAAGACAGAGATGTACGAGTCAGAAAAGTGAAAGGAAAGTGGGATTTAAGGAAAAGGAACAAGAGAAGCATTGTCCTTTTATGGAAAGTGGTTATACCAAATGGTAAGGGGTCTGTCCTGAAGAGACAGTTTGCAGGCTAATATTGAAAGGAGTAGCCTGTGAGTTAGAGATACCCTCCATTATGACTTAGTTTGTTATACAAACTTTGTTATAGTTTTTTTTTTGTTTTGTTTTTTTTCATATTTTAAAGTTTTAAAAGGTAGGGTAGCCTAGGCAATCTTTTTCATAAACACTTTTTGTTATTCTGGTTAAAACTCTCTTTACAACCTGATAGCAATCAATAATAGAAGGTCTAAGTCTCTCTTTCTCTCTCTCTCTCTCTCTCTCTCTCTCTCTCTCTCTCTCTCTCTCTCTCTCTCTCTCTCTCTCTCTCTCTCTCTCTCTCTCTCTCTCTCTCTCTATATATATATATATATATATATATATACTGCTAAAAAAATAAAGGGAACACTTAAAAAAAAGTAAAAAAGTAATAACAAGAAAAAAGTATTTAAAGGGTTACTAACCCTATAATAATATTATTTCATTCATTCAGATCTATGATGTGTTATTTTAGTGTTCCCTTTATTTTTTTTGAGCAGTGTGTGTGTATATATATATATATATATATATATATATATATAAGCCTATATATTACTACATAAATTTTCTATGGAAGTCTCCGGACCAAAAAAATGTCCATCCAAACATTGCATTCAGTCCAAGACCAAGATAATGAAATTATGCTGCTCTGTAAGTTGTTTACGTACATTATTATTCAGACATGAGATGATTTAACGCCATCTCTTGTGACGCTTTGCAAATCTACTTTTGGAGGAGGCGTGGCTTTCAAGAGCTCTTTGAAGGGAGGGTGGGTTCTAATGCTGCATTCACTCCTTAATTACCATAGTCTCAAAATGAGAGCACGTGACATTATATTCTGACCTGTATATTCTGGGAATTATGCGTTTCTAAGGCACCTCTAGCAACACCTAAATTAATCTGTAGCAGTCAGGTGGTACAGATAGAAGCTCTCAGACAATTCCCATCTTACAAATTGTAATTACAAGCGCTATGAGGAACGCTTACATGAATGCTTTTTATTAGTTGAAATCACGTAAGTGCAGTAATTATTACATGGCATGAATACACCTTAATGGTTTCAACGCTAGCTTGCTATTGCTAGCCTCTCTTAAATTGCCTACCCTACCTTTAAAAGGACCACTAGGCATTTATGGTGCGTGTGAGCTTTCCCATCAGGCCACTATAGAGACATTTTTCTTATGATTTAGGTGAAAATAAAAAGAAACATTTAAGTTTCTCTTTGCTACAGCTCATAAACTTTACACTCTCTCTCTCTCTTGCCTAATTAACCCCTAAAATTACTATTTAAAGCTAAGTTACTAGGAATCAATAATGCTTCTGCAGGGTGTTTTTAGTGGTTTGCCATGCCTCTGGTGTGTGTGTGTGTGTGTGTGTGTAAATGTGTCCACGTGAGCGTGTGATCTTGTTGTTGAGCATATTCAGAGGGCAGTGAAGTGTGGTGGCCAGCCATTGGAAGGTGGCTGTTTAAATGGTCTCCATGGATACTGCCTTTCAAGGACACTTTTGAACAGTCGCATTGCAACAAATACAGCCATGAGAATTTTTACACATATGTTCACTCTTCTCTTATTTATCTCGTTTATACCTATAAACCAAACAATGGTACATAGTTATATTTATGAGTCTCAAAAGAAATGGATTGGATTCAATCACTTCAAAGATATGTGTGACAAAATACTGTTTATGTGCCCACTGGTTAGAAGCTCCATGGGATGTCCCAATTCTCTGGTCTGTTTTGTCCGCTTCAGTAAAACAAAGCCACAAGTGGGAGGAGGCAAGAGATAAGTGCAGGACTCCACAGCTTTGAACTTGTTATGCAAAAGAACTGTAAATGCGTATCTTGTTTTCTGCCATACTATGTCAGTTTGGGATAATTACAATTGTTTAATGTTTTTGACATAGGTCTCTTAATGTGCTCTTGGGCTCCGTGTATTTTTGGTCAGTAAATACAATAGTAAAATTGTTACTATTTTATTTTAATATTTTAAAGGGGTGATGAACTGAGAAATCAAATTTTCCTTGAGCTTTTGACATCTAGAGATCATCATATTATAAGAATATCCTGTAAGTTTCAGATCTGAAAACGGTCCAATAAAAGCTCTTATTGAAGCCAGGCTCAGCAAACGACTCGTTTTTCAAAGTGGGGAACTATGACGTCAGAGAGGATAAAACACCACCCCCGCAGAAGAAGATCAACGCCTACTTCAACGCGGCTGGTTTAGCCCCGCCCACCGATTCGCGCATTACACGCATAGCTAAATAACATAGATACCTACCTTGTGATGACAAACCGGACAGTGAAACTGCAAATGCAAAACTGTTATCCACTCACAGCAGTGGGCATTTACTTCCAAGTCTTCAATGCGAGACACCCATAAAAACCGAAAGTTTTTGAGCTAGGCTCAAAACTAGGGTAGAAAATAGCCTATTACTTATTCATTTTGATGTTTTTAAATGTAAAAACCAAGCGAACGTCAGAAGTTGACCTCAGACAACAATATAAAAAATTAAAAAGGCAGTTCATGACCCATTTAAAATATAATTTTCTGTATTTCTTTGATGGCAAAGCTGAATTTTCAGCAGCCATTGCAGACGTTATTCATGATCCTTCAGAAATCATTCTAATACGCTGATTTGTTGCTTTAGAAACGTTTATTATTATCAATGTTAAAAACAGTTTCACTGCTTGCAGGTTTTTTGGAAACTCTGATACACCATTCATAGGTTTGGGTTATGTAAGATTATAAAAAAAACAAGAATTAACACTTCAGCAAGGGTACATCCAATTGCTAAAAAGTGACACTAGAGACATTGTAATGTTACAAAAAAATGTATTTGAACTTTCTATTCATCAAAGAATCCTGAAAATAGTGCATCACGGTTTCCACAAAAATACCTTTTAACTTTTTTTGAGTGGTAGTGTACATGTACTCACAGAAAAGAACAATTGTGGGTGCCTGTTTGTGTGTGCACATGAGAAAAGTCGGTCTATGTTGTGTGCATTCTTTCTCTGTGTGTATGGCAGCGAGGGGGTGTTGATTTATGTGTGAGTTCTCTCATTGAGTTGAACAGAGCAGTAAGAGTCTGGCCTCAGCAGCCCCTGATCTGAGCCCCATCTCTCCGCTCCATTTGCATTCACTGGCTAAAGCTGGCTGGCAGGGCAACACTCGCAACTTTCTGTTCCAGGCTTTGAACCGTTCCAAAAGTTTTTATTGACTTGGAGTGGAGGGGACAGAAAGAGAGAGAGAGAGTGGAGAGAGGAGAAGAACAAGAGGAAGAAGACAAAGATAAAGTGCAACTAAAACCTTAGACTTCCACAGGAACAGGGGAACAGGTGCTAAGCCGAAATAACCGAAGCTGGAGGCAGGTGAGTAGGAAGCAGAGATTAAGATAAAGAGGGTTGGAGGGATAAGATGAATGAACAGAGGAAAGAAAGTGAGGCTCAGAATGAAGTTCTGTAGCAATAGCATAGGTCGAGGGAGGAGGGGTTGGTGTGTTTTCAAACTTTTTTTATGAATCATTGCCTTCATGCATTATCTCCGCACTGTATCCTCTTTATTGCTCTGTGTTGCTGTGGCTGTTTACGTAATAACGAGAAAGTGCTTTGTATTCATTGTGCGTGTGGGTTTTCAAGAGGGAGCTGTTTGATTGCATTTTATTTCTTTATTGTTCACCAAAATTATTACACCTCTGACCGACTACAGAAATTATTAGTTATTAGTAAAACACTCAGAGCTCATATTTTAGGTCACATATTATGATTTTATCACTGCAAAAATTGTATTTAGTATGGTTTTGTGTTCTTGGAGCTCCTTCAAGGACCTGCTGTCTCTAAATTGAAAAAAGAAAAAAATGATTTTTCAAAAGCGGGTCATGGAGAGTAGAACTGCGGTTATGTCACTGTAAAGCCAGAGTTTTATGGTCCACTATATGGTTTCTTTACTGTGTCTAATTAAGGAACATTTTATGAAAATGCATTTAATGAAAAAAGATGCTTAAAGTAAATCTGTTCTGGCACTTTTAAAATTGGTAGAAGATTGATCATGTGTGTGATTGTCATTAGCTGTTTTTGTTGTTGTTGTTGTTGTTGTTGTTGTTCAGAATGGCTTGGGATTATATTAAAAATCTGACCAATATCATTTTGCAGATAATTATTTCCATGTTATGGCTCACATTAAAATTTGCCCTATACATTCATTAATTCATTCCTTCAATTCTGGGTGAGTTTCATTTAAACCGGGCTATGGTAATGGGTTTTTCATGTATTTCAGTAGTTTTGTTACATTGTATATTGTGTTTATTGTTTAAAAAAAATCCAATAAACAAAACTCAGACCTAACATGTGGAACAATGATTTGGATAATGTTTGAAAATTGTAGTCTTTTTTTTACAGAAATGATGGAGAGTACCATTAATGTTAAATATAGAATATGGGCCAATATACGTATTTACATTCATGTGTTTGGTAGACGCTTATCCAAAGCTACTTGCATTGCATTTAAGATACACATTTTATCAGTTCATCAGAGTTCAATCAAACTCATGGTGTTGCTAGCCAAGTCAAGTCAAGTCACTTTTATTCATATAACGCTTTTTACAAAACAGATCATATCAAAGCAGCTTTACAGTGATAACATGAACAAAAAAAAAAGTTTGTTTCTAGAAGAAAATTACATTGTCGTCCACCTTAAACGCACACTATGCAACAGCTTCAAAGTCATTTCGGTGGTAAACAAACACATGGTAGGGCGAATCATCCGGGTAGTAAAGCTTGGGGGGGGTGCTGCTGTGCAATGCAAGTTTGAGAGGAGCGCCCCCAACAAATCTCGCGAGAATCCCGACATGCTTTACGGCAACGACGTCACACACGTCAACCACAATATGAAGCACGAAGGCGAAGTCTCCGCAACTGTGATAGATTGAAGAGCGCGTACGAGTGAAGACTGCACGTGTGCCGCCACAAGAGACAATATGCGTCCATGACACTGATAGCAGCAGACACAAGTTCAAAAACACATTTTATCTCTTATTTAATGCAAAAAGTGCACATTATGCAAGATTTGTACCTTAATATAACAGCTTCAAATGGGTATCAGCCTGTGAGTGCACAGACCACTCTATGGCAGAGCACTCTCCATGAGTGGTATTTGTAACATTAAGAACTCCACACTGACTCTAGAGGTCGCTGTTTGACAAAAAAATTCCTGCATAGTGTGCCTTTAAGTAAGGCAGATCACTAATATAGTTGAATATTAAATGCAGTGGATTAAATGAGCTACAAGAATGCAATCCAATGTTTAATACTATGTTTAATGCTTCAAAGAGGTAGGTTTGTGATTGGTTGACCTTCAAATGCACTTAGAAAAGTAAAAAGTTTTTATGTATTGAATGCCACCCAAGGCAATAGGGATGAGGTAAGTTTAAGTGTTATTGAAAGGATCACATGGCAATCTGTCAATAGTATGTAAGCCTATGCTTTACCTGCTTCTGTAAATGTTTGCACTCGGTGCTTTTTTTTTTCTTGCCTAGTCAATATATGATTTATATGCAGGCTCTCTAGGGGTCATGGATATCAGGATGCAACGAGACGAGGCATCAGCCCAGGAAGTGTTCAGCTACGCCCAGATGTCCACCCTGGAGCGAAACAGTGGGGTAGGGACTCTAAGTCGGCATCTGGAGCGGGAGAGGTTGGAGAGAGACAGCTACACGGTGGATGTGAGGGCCAGTGACCTGCAGCTGGATCGGCCTGGGCCATTACATCCCTGCTTTAGCTACAGAATCTGGCTGTACAGCGTTGTCATAGGGGTAAGAGCTTTGGCTCAGAGCAGATTTTCACTCCTGTGGCTAACGGACTTAAAACACTGTTTTTCTTAAATCCACCTGTTTCTAACCCCCAGAGCAGCTTGCTGATAGCGGCAGCTTTCTCTCTCTATATGGGTAATGTGTTTCCAGCTGCAATGGACTACCTGCGTTGTACTGCTGGATCTGTGAGTGTCTCTTCTACTCATGGATGAGGCTGCTGGTCAGTTTGACATTGATATTTGTTTTGTTTCTGGCTTGTAGAGTATTCCAGCTGCAGTGGTGAGCTTTGCTATTGCCAAGAACAGACAAGTTGCAGTAAGTGGATATTTTTCAATGTAGATTATATTGGTAAGATAGTTACTTTTTATGAGTATAAGGCTATCATGACAATGTTTTCTGTAGTATTATATTGCACAGCTTAGGTGAACACAAGTATCAAACACACTCATCAAAAATCTCTATTTACTCGTCTTTATTGGAATATCTGCAGTAACACTTTACAATACGGGTGCACTAATAATCATCAATGTATGCTTAATGCACAGATAATCTTGAGTTAATGTATAACTCATAAAGAACCATTAATGAATGATTACTGCATCAGCAACTAATAAAGAGTCTATATGATTAATAGATTAAGCAGTACATGAATTGCTATTAATTCGATGTGTCATTGTGTATTAATTCCTTAATAACATATTTTATGAACTAATAGTGTAAATTGATGTGTTAATTACCACAATTAGTCAAAGATATGCACTTCAACTTCCAGTTGTCTGCTTTAATTAATCATTAGCTAATGATTTGCAAAGGCATCACATTGTTATGACTTTACTTGTTGGGGCACATCATTATTAACTAGTCATTTAGTAATTGTAGTAATTTGCACATGAATTTGCACTAACAATGAAGTAATTAATCATGTATTAATGCATATTAGTGTACCTGTCAAATTATCTCGAAGTTGAAATACAAGGCTTTGGCTTATTCTGGTAATTAACATATTAATTAACACTATTAGTTAAAAAATGAGTTATTATGGAATTAAACAACAATTACATATTAAATTAACAACAATTCATGTATGAACTAATATGTTAACCTTACAGACTCTTAATTAGTTCTTAATGTGGTAATCATTAATGAATAGCTTAGATAATCATTAGTTACAAATTAATCCAGTATTATCTGTGCATTAGTTAACCACAAATTAATCCTTATCAGTGCACCCGTATTGTAAAGTGTTACCGTATCAGTATAACTTTATAATATTTATTACATCAATTTCTATCAATCAATATAGTATTAAGTCAAACACTGTTCATCAATCAAGTTTCCGGCAGCAAGTTTTTGGCAGCATGTGGCTATAAATCATGATGTATTAATCCCCCTGATTGAGTTTTGGCAGATTATTCACATTTTCTATTCACATTTTATTATGTTTACAGGTCTCAGACTTTCAATTGGTCTATGTGTCCTCCTTTGCTGTGACAACCACGTGTCTGGTGTGGTTCGGATGTAAACTCGCCATCAATCCCTCAGCCATCAATGTGAGAACATCACAACTCTAATACCCCTAAAATGTTTGTCAGGTAACCTAAAAAATATGTGTTTCATGTGGTAATATCCAAATGAAATGGTTTTGCGCAAGCCTAGTATATTTTATAATATGACAATGGCAAAGCAAAAGTCATTTTAAAGAATTTGGAAGAAATAAGGTTTCTTAAATTTATTTATTAAATAAACTGCATGTTAACACATGTTACAGTGCTCTACAGACAGTTAGCTATGATGTTCATGTAAAAATATATACAATTAAAACAGTTACTGCTATCTGTCATTCTAAAGATTAACTTTAACCTGCTCCTGCTTATTGTGCTGGAAGTGCTCACGGCTAGTACTGTTATCCTATCAGCTCGCTCAGCGGAGGACTGTTGCAGACACTGCAAGGTGTGTATAAAGAGTTTCTGACCTTTTATGTATATCGACTGACAGCAGTATATCATCATTTTTGGCCTGTGTTTATGCAAATTGTGTAATGATTCAAAAAATGATCTATGATATTGCATTATGAATTATGCTTGCTTAGTGGAAATTGAGATTCAGTTTCTATCTGACTGAGACACACTCTTAAATAAATCTGCATATAGGAAATTGTAAAGCTACTGGTCATTTTCTGCCAGAACATTAACCATTACGTTTATGGACATTTCCTTAAAACCCTAAACTCAGTGCAACGCGGAATTCAAAAGTACAGGTTTAACACCTGTGAAAAATTAATGCAGTACTTTGGGTCCTATTTTTACAGACTTTTCTTGAGATAAAATTTGCCTTAATGCAAAATAACTGCAAAATCCTTTTATGCTAAATCCCTGGAAGCTATTATCACCATGTGATATGTCTATGACTTTCTGTATTTGTCTCTAGCTTATGTGATTTACATTTTATATGTGCTCATGTCTCTCTGCTCTTTTTCTTTTCCTCATTGCTATCATCCATCTCTTTCCTCCAGCCAGTGTCTGATGGCCCTGTGGTTGTGACCCCAGCTTCGTTCCCCACACGTCTTCTCAAGGCCTATGCCGTGAGTTGCTTACAAATTAGATCATATGTGAGTGTATCTGCTGTATATCAACAAAGAACACTGTAGATCTGCTGCTCTTTCTTTGGTGCAGGTAATTGAGGTTATACTGGGCATCGCCGCTGTATTCGGAGGAATTATTGCTCTCAATTTGGGTGCTCTCCTCCCAGAGCCATACCTTTCTGTCACTTTCTTCTGGATCCTGGTAGCTGTGAGTTCAGCTTATTATATAAAATATTATTTAATTTCAGATTATGAATGTTTCCGTTCGGTTCTTGATGGTTGTTTATGTGATCCCTCTGCAGTGTTTCCCCAGTGCCATTGCCAGCCATGTGGTGGCAGAATACCCCAGCAAGAGTCTGGTGAGTCACCATCAGGGTCTCTACAGCATTAAAGCAATGCAATCAAACATCCCTAAAGGACATTCGCTATTCTCATTCATTTAGCTGTCTGCATGCTTTCTCTTTAGAGTGATTCTCTCTCTCATTATTTTTTTTTCTCTTTTTTTCCACTGCTGTAGGTGGAGATGCTGATTGCTATAAGTAGTGTGACATCACCACTGCTTTTCTCTGCTTCTGGATTCTTGTCCAGCAGTGTGATTAATTTTATTGAGATCTTTATGCATGAAGTGACATTAGTCAAGGTGAGTCATTTCTGTGCATCAAATCAAATTAGTTTCAATATGACCTTTTTGACGCCTTAAGGGAATAGCTCACTCAAAAATGAGAATTATTTATTCGCCCTAATGCTGTGTTGTGTGGGATTACAAATTTAAGAATCTGTATAAGCTCTGCTGATTCTACATCCTGACATAAAATCACATGACAAACTACAGTAAGGTGAAGTCCATTGTATTTAGCATTTAAGGTTAAGATGATTATATCAGATTTATGATTCTGTTAAACAGAGGTTTCTGTGAATCCTGTTCTTGTCAGTCAAATGAGCCAAACTACTGACAATCCCAAACTAAACTAAGAATTTTTTTTTTTTTTAAAAATTGGTAATTGAAATAAAATAAAATAAAAATATTGGATGAAAAACTTGAAGGCTTAAATGAAAATTAGAATGTTGCCTTGGCAGCTAATTGAAATAAATATATTTACACTGAAGTACTAAATTTACTAAACCTAAAACTGAAATGAAAATTAATTAAAGATACTTATAGAAAAAAAAATGACAAACGTAACAGTAATAAATGTATTAAAATTAAAATGAACTCAAAATAAAAAAATTTAATTCAAAATAATAAATAGATAAATAATAACAAAATTACATTGCCCTCTTGTTCTCCAAAATATGATGTTATTCTTCTATGAAAAACGTCTCAGGTTACGTATGTAACCCTGGTTCCCTGAGAGGGAAAATTCATTAAATATTAAAAAATATTACTCTGTAATGAAAATATTCTTCTGTGCTGCAGTTGTGAAATCATGTTGGATATCAATGACATCATCGAACATCATTGTTTCTGACGTGTTTTGTGACCAAACAGTATTTTAATTGAGAGCTGTTCTTTATTTTTAAATCTATTTCCATTTCTTTATTTTTTATTTTAGTCATTCTAATACTACAACTTCAACTTGTTTATTTAATTTAGTTGCCAAGGCAACATTTAGATTTTTTTTTTAATTTCTTTAAAAAATCTTCTTTTTTTTTTTCATCTTACAGAAAAACATTTTTAATTATTTACAATAACAACACTGCTGAGTTCAGAATAAAAAAAGCATACAGGTTTTGGCTGGGTGAACCATCCCTTTAAACTCTGGAATTCAGATACATGTTCACCTTCACACCCATCTTGAAGGTTGTTTGAAGCGTGCTAAGTATGTGAATGTATGTTGTTGATGCAGCAGACATATGACATACTGCTGCTTGTCCTGATGGGACTGCTGCTGGTGCAGGCGGTGCTGATGTTAGCCACCGTAATAAAGTGTGCTTCCTACAAGAGCCAGCTCCGCATGGGACGTACTGAATGGGACACGCTACAGAAAAAGCACTGCGAGGTAAACACACAAACAAACATACACCCCATGACTGATGGGTCAGTTTAAGAGTACATGAAATGTTGTTATATGTGACTATAACTGCAGATGATGTTAGCAAAAAAATAATAATAAAGGAAAACGGTACTGTACGGTGCCAAATGTAGCATGAAACACAATCACAGTGGAATGGTATGGTAGAGTTGTTTCGCTCCTTTTATTCTGTGAAAACACACGTGGGGGATGTTGTAATTAACAAAGGAAGATCTCAAGGTGGTTGTTGGACCATTTCTTTTCCACCATCTCATTCTTTTCTTACAGCAACACACATCAAATGGCACACTAAGGGATTTTGACAAAGAAAAGGCCTGGAAAGCAGTGGTGGTCCAAATGGCCCAGTGACCAAAGATACAGGCAACAGAAGGAAACGCAGTACACTGAGAAAAAAAGTCAATGTACAAATATGGAAGATATGAGAATGTCAGTTGGAAGAGCATCACTTTTCGGGGTATGAAACTTAAGAGTTCTGTCATCTGCTACATTTAAGAGTCGGACACCACCGGTTAAAAGTTTGGGGTTGGGATTTTATAGTAAGAATTTTTTTTTTTACGAAATTTATACTTTTATTTAGCAAAGATATATAAATTGATCTGAAATAAAAGGAAAGACATTCACATTTTTATACAAAACTAGTAGATGTCTATTTCAAAAACATGCTGTTTATTTGAACTTTTTAGAACATTTTTTTTAAAGTATCACAGTTTCTACGAAAATATTAAGCAACACAAGTGTTTTCAAAATTGATAGTGATGATAAATGTTTCTTGAGCACCAAATCAATAGAATGATTTCTGAAGGATCATGTGGCAAAGATATTGCTGATGAAAATTCAGCTTTGCTATCACAGGAATAAATGTATTTTAATATATATATGCAAATAGAAAACAGTTATTTTAAATTGTAATAATATTTCACAATGTTACTGTTTTTACTGTATTTTTAATCAAATAAATGCCACTGAGTATAAAAGACATCCTTAAAAAAACATAAATTAATTAACAACCCCAGATTTTTAAAATGTAGTGTCTGTCAAAGATATTATTGAATGACAGTTTAATATAAGTAAAGTCAAAATTAGGGATCGGTTTTGAAAGTCCATTGTAAAAATCCTTAAACTTGTGTCTCACAATCATGAATATACTATTTCCAGTTTGAAAATAGAATTATATGTGCTGGTCAAACGACTGAGCAAGTTTATATGCAAATAAATGGTGAACACACCATGCTTGTACAATCCACAGCACTTTAATGCATTATTTAGAAATCCCATAGGTTGGATGTTGAAAGGGTAGGGGACCTAATATATGATGCATTTAATAATTCTAACACACTTTAATGGACCATATGCTGTTCACTACCTTGTTGCGTGCAAGCCTTTTTACTATGTTAGATTTTATTTTTGTATGAACAATGTGCATCTTTTGATGTTGTTGTAGATCAATAAAATTTTAAAGGCTGTTTATGTGAAATGTGAATATAAATTATTCCAGATAGTGACGTTACAGCTTGATATGTTTGTTCAGGTTTTAGTCCAAGTGCAGATGGAGTCTTGAATAAAAAGAGCAAAATAGACAACACTGACATGGATTTAAACTAGTTCACGTCAAAAATCTTAATTTACTCACCCTCATGTTGTTTTAAATCTGTATGACTTTTTCGAATTGTTGTGTAAATAATGAGATTTTTGGTTGAGCTTTTTATTTTTCACATTTAGCGAATATGAAGACCAAAGGGATTAATAAACATCTTAGTACTGCGGGTGTCTTAGTACTATATAGCTATAATATATAGCCTATCAAAAGTATTTTCAACTTTTTTTGTTATACAATATTCAACTTATTTTTAAGTCCATTTAATGTAATTTAAGTTGAAAGACTTACACATTCTAGTTGATTGTACTTGTGAAAGGCAGCAACTTTTTTTAAAGGTGCAGTGTGTGATTTTTTGCGGCATCTAGCGGTTCGGTTGCGAGTTGCACTAAGGGGTCAGCCCACTGCTCACCCATCTCTTTCGTAGAAGCTACGGTGGCTAAAACGGGAGGAACATATCGTCGTCTGAGACAGCAGATAATAACCAGAGTAAGCCAAGAGTGTGTAGCATTGTCACTGTTTCTGCACAGTCCATTATAAACCACATCATGGATAGAGTTTACAAAGCCATAGTCAGGTGAGAATCAAGGGTCTTAATATATAATATAATAATAGTAATCAGCTGATGTCTAACAAATGTAACCAGCACATTTCCCCACATAGCAAACCCATAATTTTGCATTATGGTGACTTTAATCTCGAGATGGTTTTATTTTTTTTATTATTGCTTGGCCCTATCCTCTTCCGTACCTTTAAGTTGTTGCAAACCTGTATGCGTTTCTTTCTTTTGCTGAACACAAAGGAAAATATTTTAAATAATTTTAGTAAATGATAACAGAATTTTCATTTATCTCTTTAATGGTCTTTATATATATACGTATATATATATATATATATATATATATATATATATATATATATATATATATATATATATATATATTAATAAATAAAAGCTACTGCACAATACCCAAAACATCTTCCCAAATTTAACTCTACAGTGAACATTAAAAATAATACATGAGATATAGCCTATAGAACATAGAATAGAATAGAATAGAATAGAATAGAATAGAATAGAATAGAATAGAATAGAATAGAATAGAATAGAATAGAATAGAATAGAAACAGTGCTGGTGGATTTTTTATGCACAGCAACTAGGCTACAGCCAAAATAACCCTTATGGTTTCTGTTGCCTTTTGGTTAAGCATATTGTCTATTTTATCGTATGCGTTTCCATACACTATGGAACTAACGATATTGTGCAAGGCAGAACAAGCGATACCCATGTTAACTGATGGTCTGTGTGAAGATGATCGTGTGAACTGGAGAAGTGTATGAGGTTTGTCAGTGAGAGGAATGGCGAGAGGCGGAACAAACCGGTGTGTGTGCCCGGATACACGCTGAAACGGCTCGCCCGCACTGCAGATTAACTCTACAGACGCCGGGGATGCTCAACAGTAAAGCACAAGTCAATGCATCCGCGTCCGTTTTTTTTTTTCTTTTCTTTTCTTTTTCTTTTTTTTTTTTTTTTTTTGGAGATCTGGTGGTTGTGAAGAGAAAGAGATCTGTCCAGGTGTTGTTGATTTTAGCATGGGATTCAGGCTCTGCGTGCTCCTCAATATAATCGTGTAATCTGACAGGTATGTGACATCATGACGATGATAGTCAATGCAGCCCATCTCTTTTACTCATGCCGTATATTATCATGTATTTTAGCATATCTTTGTCTTAAGTCGCTATATGTCTTTCTAGCCAGTGATGATGCCGGATAGCCTGATGATCCGGTGATGGACAGCTCCTCGACTGAGCGTAAGTGATGTGCATCACCTTTGCACCTAAACATTGTCAATATGTCGGGCAGTTTCGTTACAGCATATAGTCGATAAAACTAGATTGTGTCTGAGGCTGTGTTATGTTAAAAGATAGCCTACTACATCACTTCTGTTGCTTTAAGTTTGCATGACACATTCGTATCACTATCAACTTCTTTGACTTCTAAACCTGCAGTTTAAGTGTCTCATAGAGGAACAAATTGTCCATAACTAGGATAATTGTCCATAATTGTCCCAAAGTCCCCAAGAGAGGATACTGAATATGATCCATCCCATGAAATACAGTATTTATTCCCACATTTTAAACAAACTATTATTTATTTTGCAGGTTGAATATTTATTTAATTCTTTTAAAAACATTTCTGCGTTTACTACATTTTTCTTTTTCTTTTTGCATTCATTATATTAATATTATTATATATTTGCATAAGTAAATCATTTACACAACAGCTCTGACCATTAAGACATTGCTTAGTTTACATTTTTAGATGAACATAAATCATGTTTAATGCATTAATTTGAAAATCTGATTGACTTCATCCCCCAAATAAATTTGTATTTAAGTTAACTTACAAATTTGGAATTCCTGCTGTTTTTTGTTGTGCTTTCCATTTCTTAGAAAGCTGTTCATTATTGAATTCTTGAGCTCAAAGCGAGATGTAATGATTTCAAAATGTACTACAGCTCCTTGTCTGTGTTTTTATGCCATTGGTAAAGACACAATGCAACATATCAAGCTTCCATCTGTAGGTCAGAAGTAAACAATAAAACTTTCCAATGAGTTTAAGACCAAAAAAGCATATCTAATCTAGACTGTCTTGAATGATTAAGCCTCAGGGATGTCATTGTGTCCTTTTGTCCTTGTCACACTAGTATGCTCTCGAAGGACTCTGCAGAGCCACACCTGGCACACTCCATTGGTTTCTGAAGGAATATGCACTTTCATAGAGTCTGAACATGCAGCAGTAAAAGCAATATAGGCTACTTTTATGTTTATAGAATTATTTTATGGTTATAGATACTACCCCAGACAGCAAACTGACATTGAATCAACGTGGAAACGACGTCTCTCATGACATTGAAACAACGTTGATTTTGCTCATCGAATTAACGTTGAACCAACGTCAGACGTGGCATTCTTCAAAGCTAAATGAAAATCGAAAATTGATTTGCTTTCATAACGTTGAAACAACGTGTTGATTTCAAGTTGATTTTCCGTTAGTTTTGAAAGAATGACGCGTCTGACGTTGGTTCAACGTTAATTCGATGAGCAAAACTATGTCAGATCAACGTTGTTTCGATGTCATATTTCCACGTTGATTCAATGTCAGTTTGCTATCTGGGACGTTGCCAACATCAAGAATATGTTTGGAAGTTTTTCTTGTGAAAAGGATAGTTTACCCAAAAAGAAATGTTGACCACTTTTTTACCCTCAAGTTGTTCCAAACCTGTTGGAGATTCTTAAACAAAGAATACATATTTTTTAGAATTTTGGTAATTTGGTAAATGTAACGGACTTTAGCCTCCTTTGCAGTCTTTAGCCTCCTTGTTGGAGTGCCTGACGCTCATGCCGGAGACCCGGGTTCGAGGCCCGCTCGGAGCGAGTCGAGTGGGACCCGGGTGTAGGGGTTACATAAAGACAATGGCTACTGTCAACTGTCTGGTTACCAACATTCTTTAAAATATTGTATTTTGTGTTCAACAGAAGAAAGAATCTGTTTGAAACAAAATGAGGGTGAGTGAATTATGACAAAATTTTCATTTTTGAGTGAACTATCCCTTTAATCTATATCTGTTAACTCCGATTCTGAATGAACTCTCTTGATCATTTACAGGTTTTTGAGGAATGGAATAGATAGGATGACAAATTCATCCCAGCTGTCAATATAAGCGCCAACAACAAATCATCTGATCTCTTCAATCTACCTCTGACAAGATCAGCCATCAATAACCCATCGACTCAGGCTGATCACAAAGATTCCTTTGTGAGTCTTATAAGATCCACTTTCAAAGTCAACACCTCTTACACATAACTCATTATATTGTTGCAGGGAAAAGCCCGCAGCCAATCCGTTGGCTGACGGGTTAGGAGTAGGAGGAGGAGCTTCGATTCCCATCAGGAGTGTTGTGAGGTTAGTGGCGAGCATTCTGCTGGGACCGGATGCAGAACATCTTCGAGCAGAACTTGGACATGGCCACGGCTCTGCTTGCGGGTGAGAAGCTGAAGGAGTTGATCCTGCCAGGTTCCACACAGGATGAGAAAGGCGGGGTTCTCGCAGGTCTCATGGTGCAACTCAAACTAGAGTTGCCCTTTGACCGGGTCGTCACCATAGGGACTGTCATCATCCCTATTCTGCTGGTTACATTAGTTTTCACACGGAACTTTGCAGGTTAGTGGTGTTACACATTATTTGGACAAACGTACACTATGAACACCTTACAATATTCAGTGACTAGAGTTCTGAAAGCCATTTGTTTTTTATAAGAGTTAGGGATTTCTGAAGACTTGAGCTACTGCAGACTTGAGCAAATGAGCAACGAAACGGTGATGATAACCTACAATCTGAGCAAATTATTCAGTCACATGCACTTAAAGGGATTTATTTGGTGAATGTGTCTCCTTAATACTTTATGTGCTTCTTTTCCATTAAACCATTTATACACTTCATTTGAGTGTGAACATTTTGGCATTTTTATTCTTTATCTTGGTGTCTCCGTCCAGCATTTTTTATGCAAAATCCTACCATTTTCGTAAAAATGTATGGAAGGAAACATGCTTAGATTGAGGAATGCACTTAATACTTATGGACATTTTTTGTGATATGGTATTACACTCTAAATTAGAAATATTTTTGGATTTACACTTGGATGGCACTGGTGAGAGTGCCAGATTTTTGCCAAGTTTTTAAAGTTGACCCATTGTTAATAGTTCTATAAGACTTTCTATATTCCTGTTGTCCGCTAGTATACAGCAGAGGAGTGGTTAAAAGATTGTTTCTAGATAGATTGTAGGGTGATTAAGTAGGAAGAGAGAGAGAGAGAGAGAGAGAGAGAGAGAGAGAGAGAGAGAGAGAGAGAGAGAGATAAAGAGGGGTTGTGGTAGGAGGGAGGCGGGGTTACGCTAAACGCTGAGTCAGTCTTACTGCATAGCAGCACCAACTGGCTGTGACTGAACGAGAACCCTGCTGGGCAAAAACATGCAGTATAGTTTAGATCTGTTGGCGATATACAAACATTTACACTTCGAACAATTGTGAGACTGCACTTTAAATTGCCTTTTCACATCATTTGAGCGTTACTACATTACAATATTTTTCATTAGGAACACTTATTATATCAAGAAGGAGGATTAGTGAAGGTCAAACCCTCATTGTCATGTTGGCTGAGGCTGTTTATAGGATAAAATGCAAGAACAGTGCGAGGGCTTGGAGCCAGAGGGACGTAAGTGGCTTTTAACAAACTGTACAGGAGAGACAAAACAAAAATTTGACCATACTTCAATTACCTGTATTATTAACCTTGAATCACAAACAATGCAACCACAGGCATACTTACATGAATGACTATTTAAGTAAGAAAAATGTATGGCATATAAACACAATGAACATGTTCTAAAACATTTTCAAAAAAAAAAAAAATAATCAAATACGTCAGATAAGCCTTTTTGTTGCTTTATTCAATACATTTTGATCTCAGACAGGTATTTTGGCACCATTGGATAGAGCTCATCGAGACCTTTATTTTGATATAAAAAACTCATATTCGCCCAAAATGCCACTTACCCCCTCTCTGGCTCCAAGCCCTCGAGTGAATAGTCTGAAACTTGAAAGTACTGAAAGAAAAAGTTGAGCCTGTAACCATTAAGAGATCTTTCCCATCTAGACACACCGACTATAACCTATTATCTTGCTTAACTTACACTATCGATTCTGTGCAGGAGTGTAATCTGAGACCCAGAGTAAGGTGGAGGCGTCTATAGGAGTTACAGTAGCTGCGAAAGAATTACCTCAGACTTTGTCCAGCTGGCACAGACAAATGTAGCATTTGTTTTCATCACTGATTCATCAATAGATTGGCCTGTGCTGCCTTACACTATGCAGTAAGCCCATTCTACTTTATAGAAACCTGATGAAAGCTCATTACAAGAAACAAATCCCTGCGGGATAAGACAGATTTTCCTGGACAGAGTCAGTTGTGATTGATATACAGTATTAATTTGAATAATTTTCACGACGCATGTGCGAGAACTGAACTGAAGTAGTTTAAGGAGTTCGCAATTCTCGCGCATGCGTCGTAAAAATCTCTTGAACTCTCGTCTCAGGACTACAAGGAAGAAAAGGAATAGTCGAATAAAGTCGTTATTTTTGTTTGTTTTTTCGCACAAAAAGTATTCTCGTCGCTAGATAAACTTATACTTGAGCCACTGTAGTCACATGGAATATTTAAACATTTTCTTCAATGACTTTCTGGGCAAAAATATCTTCGTTTGTGTTGGTACAGCATGATGGTAACACTAGTGGTATCTAATTAATTGTTATGCCAAAATCCCGATTATTTTGTGAAGTGGAATTCTTATGATTTTCTATCTCCTCTTTTAGAGGAATCTATATATTGCTACACCCCACACAACTTCACCCGAGACCAGGCTCTGTATGCCAGAGGTTACTGCTGGACAGAGCTTCGGGATGCTGTTCCTGGTGTCGACCCCGATCTTCGGCCCTCCCTGTTCGAGCACAAGTTTCTGCCCTACGCTCTGCTGGCCTTCGCAGGCATCATGTACATACCTGCCCTTGGATGGGAGTTCCTGGCCTCCACTCGTCTCACCTCCGAGCTCAACTTCCTCCTACAAGAGATCGACAACTGCTACCACAGGGCGGCCGAGGGCAGAGCGCCTAAGATTGAAAAGCAGATCCAGTCTAAGGGGCCGGGGATTACAGAACGTGAGCGACGGGAGATCATCGAGAATGCAGAGAAGGAGAAGAGCCCAGAGCAGAACCTGTTTGAAAAGTATCTTGAGCGCAGAGGGCAGAGTAACTTTCTGGCGAAGCTGTACCTGGGGCGACATTTAGCCATCGTCTGCCTCAGCTCAATGCCCATTACTTACCTGAGCACCTACTACGCCCGTCAGCGGCAGAACGAGTTCACTTGCGCGCTTGGCGAGCCGCCGGACACTAGCAGCATCCCTGAACTGCGACTGAATGTCAACTGCAAGCTACCAGCCGTGCAGCTCCAGCGAATTATGGCCGCCGTGGACATCTCTTTGCTGTGTACTATGAACCTCATTATCCTTGTGAACTTGCTGCATTTGTTTGTAGTACGCAAGTCCAATTTCGTTTTCGACAAGCTGCACAAAGTTGGCATTAAAACACGTCGGCGCTGGCAGAAGTCACAGTTTTGCGACATTAACATTCTGGCTATGTTCTGTAATGAGAACAGAGACCACATTAAGTCTCTCAACAGACTGGACTTTATTACAAATGAGAGTGACCTCATGTATGACAATGTGGTGCGGCAGCTGCTGGCAGCATTGGCTCAATCCAATCACGACGCCACTCCGACTATGAGAGACTCTGGTATCCAGACTATTGACCCCAGTATGGACCCGTCAGTGCTCGGTGTGGGAGAGCTGGGAGGAGAGCCCTCAGTAATCAAAAGACCCCGCAAGAAGATGAAGTGGATCCCCTCATCTAACCCTTTGCCACAGTCTTTTAAAGTAAGACTTGACTCTAGGTTTTCATTCACATTTAGTGAATGAATAGCTTGCCACAGTATGTATGGTCCTTCTATTAGTGAAATGTACCTTATATTTCTTTGCTTTCATACAGGAACCCTTGACTCTAACCAGACTGGATAATAGTATTAAGGCAGATAAACCTAAACCAGTCCGGAGGAAGAATGTACCAGATAGCATTATGGCTCCACTTCTGGACAGCAAGAGCACACAACATCCTCCTACAAGCATAAGTAAGGCCAAAGTAAAACCTGGTTTAAGTTAGTATGGCTAATATGGTCATAATCGTCCTCTGATCGTGTTTCTGATTTTGCTTTTCAGCTACAGAAACATACAATTTAGAGAAGAAACACTCTCTTAACCTCACGTTGGATGTTCATCCCTACATGCTAACCATCCAGAAAGCGAAACCAGAGACAGTCAACCCTGAGCCAGTCCCTGTTGAGCACTCCCTCAGTAATGTGTATATTGAGGGTCCACATGCAGTTGTCCACGTCTCCTCTTCTCTTTCTGGTATGCTTGAATTAGAGATGCACAGTATATCAGAACCATATCTGGCATTGCTAGTGTCCGTCTACAGAAAGCCAATAGAAATGTTCCATTGTGCAAAAAAGCTTTGTGACCAACACAAGTTTATTATTCTTACTTGTACACATCAAGATAACCTTCACAAATGAACACAATTATAACAAATTTTAAAGCCTAAATACAAACGGCAGAAGTAAAAGGTACAAATTAGGCTATAAACAAACTATACCAAGATCACATGACTTCAACGTCACTTCCAATCTATTCTTAAAAGTGAGCTAGTGAGTAGATGACTTTCCTGTTTTATGTCATGACATTTAAAGGTAGGGTAGGCAATTTTCAGAGAGGCTAGCAATAGCGTGTTAGCTTTGAAACCATAAGATCCCACCCTCCCTCATAGTGTCAAAGCAGCTGTTTCAAAGCAGGGAGCACGGAGGTATGGAAATACATACATTGACAGCTAAATAGGACATCGTATCATTGCAGTCTGACCGAATTCAATGATTGGATGAACATTTTATGGTCCTATGCCTTCCACAGATGATGTATGTACATATAAATGCATTTAGACCACTGAACATAGTGATTGCTATCAGGATGTGAAAAGACTTTCAACCAGCATAACAAAAAATATTTCTGGGACAAATCACCTACCCTGCCTTGAATGTCCTTGACAACCTCTGTAGTCCCATTTAGTCACATGTTAGCAAAATGCCTTTTCCCAAGACACATAAAAGCATTCAGGAAACCCCATTTATTTGGAACTTTGGAACTATTGAACCAGAAGTGCACAAATCCTTTTAGGTTAGAACTGCAATATTGTGCATGCAATAAATTGCCCTAGTTTTCCCATTTTCACATTTTCCCCACTTTTTACATTTCTTTCACCGTCATCTAACTCACCTTAAACGTAATTTTTAAAAACAGTAATCATTTAGTAACACTGTTAAATGTTCTGCTAAATCTTAAACAAATCTCAAAATGAATTTAGCAATTTTTATACTGTAAAATGTTGTGAGGTCTACATCATTTAATGGTAAGATTTAAAACAATTGATCTTATGATTTTTTTTGGTAACACTTTATTTTACGACCCGCAAACAACTGGGTAAGTACACAATAATTACGGTGTACGTTTCTGTAAATATAGTGTACTTCCGTGTAGGTATAAGGGAACAATATGTAAGTTTGGGGTAAAAAGGGGGTAACAAGCACCACTTTAATTTACAGCCCGCAGGAGTTACACTTACCCTGTAACTACACAGAACAAGGGGGTAACAAAGCTACTTACTATGTAGCAATACGAAACAACACTATTTGCACTGTAATTACAGAGAACGGTACTGTTATCAAGAAAATAAAACAACAACAACAAAAAAGTTTTAATTACACAGTATATTTGCCCTGACATTTAAGTGTCATTGCAATTCAATGGGATAAGGTAAGTACTCATTACCACAAGGTACAGTCTAAATTAAAATCATAACAGAAAATAATTTTGATTTAACATTAAGTAATCTAGTAAGAAAAGCCAATAAATTTGATTTTTATCATATATATATATATATATGTTTAATTTTCACATTTTAAACCCACAGATGTCAAAATTACCCTGTAACATTGCACAAGAACATATTTAGCCAGAAGTATACATTTTATTAACAACAGACGTACATTTTTTGCCTGGAATATATTAAAAGAATAGGTGCCTGTTATTTTTTAACTAATTAAATAATTTGCTTGTATATCTGCTTGTTACCCCCTTATTACCCCAAACTTAACATATTGTTCCCTTACCTACACGGAAGTACACTATAATTACAGAAATGTACATCGTAATTTCAGTGTACTTACGAAGTTATTTGCAGGTTGTATATCTGCTTGTTACCCCTTTATTACCCCAAACTTAACATATTGTTCCCTTATACTTACACGGAAGTACACTATAATTACAGAAACGTACACCGTAATTTCTGTGTACTTACTCAGTTGTTTGCGGGTCTTAAAATAAAGTGTTACCTTTTTTTATATAATTATTTATTTAGACACAATAGCATACCATTTTGATATCAGACATAAAACTTGTATTATTTTATATTAGTACCGAAAATTCGATATCACCTTTTTGTCCCCTTAGAGAAGAAAGAGTCTCCTCCACTGTCCACCACCACTACCTTCTCTACAGCCACTCTCTCCACAACATCATATATGAATGGTGGAACGACCAGCGTGCCTCCTCCAGACTCCCCAAAGGATCCTCTCAACCATGGGGCAGAGCCGGAGAGCCAGTCCGGGCCTTTTAGTCGAAACCCCTCACACCCGCTGCTGAGCATTCATCACACCTTGTATGAAGAGGACGAGGAGGAGCAAAACAGAAGGGATAGACTAGCCAGACCAGGCGAGTTGATTGCTGCTGGAGAGTGTTGAAGGAAATGTACTGTATACACACCTGCACACACACAAAAGCACTACAATGTGAACTGAAGCACAAAGGAACATGCTGTTTTTTGGTGTTTATGTTAATAGACTTGCTATGGGTGAATCTTATTTCATTTTCAGAGATGAAGATTATTGAACACTGGGGCATGCAGTGTTTTACATATTTTATGCTCTTAAAGGTGCACTTATTTTTTGCTGACTGATATGAAAGTGGTTGCAGGATGGAATGGATACTGGAGTTTTCGTTACTGGTGTCACTGCAGAAATACCCTATTCGCAGTCTGACATGATTAATTTATTCTGCAAGCAAAAGTATCCCATAATAGGGACAATAATACATCTGAAATAAAATAAAATATTGGGCTGGTCATATGATCTTAATATGTAAACCACCATAATGCTCGATAATGTCGAAAATGTGTTTTTTTTTAGAGCACTGATGTATCTTCATCTCATGTGAGTGTATATCACTTAGATTAACAAACACTAGACTTTGTGGGAAAAAAGTGCACCTTTAAACATCATCTCCCAGACTTACATTCACATCCTTGGAAGTGTGTGTAGTTTGAGGGAAAATAAAATTACCCATGACCTCACTGCTCGCCATATGGGTTAATGAATTCCCTATGACATTCCAAATGAAGGCAAAGGCACATCAGAATTTTGCTCAAAACACAGTTTGTTCCTGTTTAACATCAGTGTCAGCATAGTTTTGTGTTGTTTGTCTGTATACACAATCAGTGTCTGTCTCATATAGATGACTTGAGGTATTCGACGCAATACATGTATTCTTAAAATATGCAACCTCATTTCTTATTGTTGCAATAATATGCACATTTGGAATGTATATACTCAGCTGTACAGAAAAAAAACTTCCTACATCCAATAATATGAGATTTTTCCTTATTTAAAAAAAGAAAAAAGAAAAAAAAAAGACTGTCACGTGACATTCATCCACACACCTCTGGTGCCCTTATTCAATGAGACTATATCACTGGGTCTCTGGGCCAAGTGCTCAAAGACATTCAACTCCGGATTTCCCGAAGAAAAATGGATCCTTATACCAGCTTTTTTGAACAGACAGAGTTGTGACAAAAAGATTTCAGCTTCTTCAGCTGGACATTTTCAAGGAGGTTGTGTTATACACACTTTCTAAGTCCTGGTTAAAACCTTTGATATTCAATGATGCACCTTGTAGTGAATTTAACACACTATGATTGCGAGTGAAGCGCACAGTAATTCACAGTTAAAATCCAAGAGCACCTCTAACCACACGGCATGAGATTGATATTAGGGATAGCAGCATCTCACTGTTTTTCTAGCACATATCATGATCAAAGTGCAATATTTTTTATGTGATACAGGGAACACAGATCATGAATGGTCATACCTTCAGAGGGGAAGAAAACACACTGGATTTTCCAGGCTTAAATCTTTAGATCTGAATTTAATTAGATGGTTTTATGGGTACTGATCTCAAACTTAATATGTTTAAATGGGATTAGACTAGGTATGTATAAAAAAATCATGGTCATGTCACCTTGCTTGTTGGTAATTTCTTTTGTCTATTTTTATGTCACAAGTTCTTGACAAATGTTTGAGTTTCATATATGTGTATTGAACTGCAGCATTTCAACCAAATAACCTTCTTAGAGAAATAGATGAATCTATGCTAAAGAGAGAAAAAAATGTTATATTACCTCATGGGTTGTACAATGCATGTTCAATTGTTAATTAAACTGTTACATAATTTACATGGGGAAAAAATACTTGAATTTGAATCTCTGTTATACATGAATCTCAGAAAGAGGTGTATAAAGTTCAGAAGAAAACATTCACTAACTCACAGAAAACATTGAAAAGTATCATGAGAAATCCCACCTGTCTCTGTATCTGTAACAGTTGTGCATAAAACGTTAACAGCATTCTGAGAAGCGGCTCATGCTTTTTAGCCAATCAGAAACATGGCTACCACCATCGACAAAATGGCTGTGAACAGTTTTTTCGTGTTAGGGCTTACTGACATCACGTGTCCGTTCTTCGTACCTTGCTATAGTTCAGCCAAAAATACTCACCATGAAGCCATCTTAGGTATCATATGGAATTGAATTGTGCCCAGGCTTTTGAAGCATCCATCATGAAAGTAATCCATACGACTGGCGGGTTAATAAATGCTTAGCTCACTTGGCTCGGTGCGAAGTTTTGTTTTCCTGTGCAAACATCTCTGAACTTAAAGGGTTAGTTCACCCAAAAATAAATATTAAGTCATTAATTACTCGCCCCCATGCTGTACCAACCCCTTAAGACCTTCGTTTATCTTCCGAACACAAATGAAGATATTTTTGATTAAATTTGAGAGGTGGATCACTGCTACATAAGCTGCTTACTCACTGCTTAGGTTGCCTAAGGGATCGAAACTTGACGGCCCAGAAAGTCAATAAAGAAAATGTTTAAATATTTCATGTGACAACAGTGGCTCAAGTATAAGTTTATCAAGCGACGAGAATACTTTTTGTGCGAAAAAAACAAACAAACAAAAATAACGACTTTATTCGACTATTCCTTTTCTTCCTTGTAGGCCTGAGACGAGACTTTAAGAGATTTACACGACACATGCGCGAGAATTGTGATCTCCTTCAACTACTCGTGCATGCGTCGTGGAAATCTCTTGAAGTCTCGTCTAAGGCCTACAAGGAAGAAAAGGAAGTTGAATTAAGTCATTATTTTTTTTTTTGCACAAAAAGTATTCTCGTCGCTTGATAAACTTATCATTGAGCAACTGTAGTCACATGGAATATTTAAACATTTTCTTCAATGACTTTCTGGGCCGTCAAGTTTCGATCCCTTAGGATGCCTATGTAGCAGTGATCCATCTCTCAAATTTAATTAAAAATATCTTCATTTGTGTTCCGAAGATGAACGGAGGTCTTACAGGGTTGGTACAGCCTGGGGGTGAGTAATTAATGACTTCATTTTCATTTTTGGGTGAACTAACCCTTTAAACTTTGGATTATTATTTGGACTTGATTTATCTGTTTGACCTTGTGTGTGTTCCCTAATTTGGATTATTCAGACAGTTTGGCCTCAGTCACTATTTCCTCAGTTTTGCCATTCTGCTTCCATTATTTGCATATTCTTTGTAATTCTTACCTTTGCAACTAATAAACTGCACATTGAACCTAACTCTCAAGCCTCAAGCCTCCTCGTCACATAAAACTTTGCCCACCATGGATCCAGCATGGATGCAGATTCTAAGACTACAAGTTAAAGTATCCTCCAAAGCGACCATGCTTTTTTCCATATCATTAATAATTGCGCAAACTCACCTCGCTATCGGAGGATCTAGTCAAGTCCTTGCAAACACTTCAGTTGCCGTCTTACTCAGAACCACCTAGCACAGCTAGCCATTCAGCTACAGCTGACTCTCAAGTACAGCTAGCCTCAGTCCGTCTGCCTGGCTTAACTTTGGCTATAACCCTTGTCTTTCGCTTCCGGACAAGTTTGACGGCACTCTAGCATGCTGAAATGGATTCTTGTAACAGTGTGAGTAACTTCATGTTAACATGTAACTTAACTTCATCAACCTCACGTCTATTCTACTGCCGAAGCCAAGATAGCATTTATGATCTCTGCTCTCACAGGTTGAGCACTCAGAGCAAGGAAGCTGGGCAAGTACTGTTAATGCTAAGACTTGGTTGGATTTGGGCCTCGAGCTTCGGTAGAAGCGGAACCTCGCCCACCATGGATGCCAGCGCTGCCAAGTCCAGTGGTCTCAGCGTATATAAGTCAGCTGGTACCAGAGTTACTGCCACCGTTGTCTGCATTGTCTGTGATGCTACGGCCATCTTGTGTGTTTGGGGAGCTATACACACTGCTATAGCTCCTCCTGAGGTGGCAGCAACCACTACAGCTCATCCCGAGGCTGCAACTGTACCTGAACCTTATGTCTGCTCTGATACAACCAAAGAGGTAGATTATGAATCACCTGTGCTCTCTCTTGACTTGGTAATGACCACAGAGGTCATCCTTCAACTCTGTCTGCTCTGACACGACCATGGAGGTCTTTCCTGAATTCTCTGTCTGCCCTGCATGACCACGGAGGTTGTTTTTGAACTCTCTGTGTGCCCTGACACTGGCACTGAGATCCTTGAACTCCTTCTGCCTTGATAGGTCACCCCTGAACTTTCTGTCTCCCCTGACATGACCACAAAGGTCGTCCATGAACTCGCAGCCGGCCCTGTCACGGCCAAGGAAGCCATCCTTGAAATTTCAACCTTTTCTGTATTGGCCAAAGTGGTCTTCTCTAACCTCTCTGTGTTCTCTGTTTTAGTTTTGTCGATGGTGGTCTCCAGTTCAGCCTGATCTGCCGAGGTGGTCACCGTTTCCATTTGCTCCACTGTGGTGGTCTCTAGCTCTACCCTATCTGCTGTGGTGGTCACCAGCTTCGCCTGCCCCGACTTGGTGGTCTCCGGCTCCGCCCTGGCCCCCTGCTCTGCTGTCTCCTCCCTGGCTCTCTGACCCTCCTCAGTCTCCAGTACCTCCACACTGGACTGGCCCTCCATCCCTCTCCCTGATCTGCCTCTGCTCCAGCACTCTTGTTTGTTGTTTTTCATGTTATGGGAGCATCTGGAATACGTTCCTTAAGGGGGTGCTCTGTTGCGTATTCCCTGCTGGCCTTGTGTTTCATGTTTTTTTTGGTGATGGGACTTTTAGTTTTCATTTTTGTAGCCCTTTTTAGTTTTTCTATTTGATTGGTTCTGTGATTATTCCCAGGTGTGTCTTCTTTGCCTATTATTAGCCATCTAGTATTTAAAACCAAATGTTTCTTGTGTTCCTTGTTGAGTCTTGTCATTAAATTGATGTTTTGTTTGTGTCCTTCTGTTTCCCTAGTTTTCTTGTCTTATTCTGTTTGGTAAAATAATTGGATTTGGATCCAGCTGTCCTTTTGAATTCACCCTGCATTAAATGCCTTCTGAATGGATTTTTCCACAAATGGCTGTTGCCAGAAGCGAGTGATTACGGTTTATAAAATTTAAAATATGGCTATATGCCTTACAAAAAACCCATTGCTTCGCTTCAGACGGGATTTATTAACTCACTGGAGTGGAATGGATAACTTTTATTATGGAAGGATGTGCTTTTTGGAGCTTCCAAACTGTAAACTGTAACATTACTTCTTGTAAGTGCCATTACAAAACTGGGAAGAGCCAGGATATTATTTAATATAACTCAGATTATGTTCAGCTGAAAGAAGAAAGTCATAAACACCTATGGCTTGAGGGTGAGGGATATTTTTTTATTCCCATTAATTCCTATTCCCTTAATATCTACCTCTGATATGATTTGACATGCCAGATCTTCTAATTGTGATAATTGGTCTTTGGCTAATTTGGCTTTTCAAACTAATTTGCAGATTAAAATATCTAAGTTGCCTGATATTACTGCATGTTCATTAGAAAGGTCAGATTGATACTCAAAACTATGATCAGGAATGTGCGAAGACAGACTTTCACCAGAATAATATTGTTTACATGAAATATGACTGGTTTGAGTTTACGGACTTATTGCTATGACAGCAAGTCCAGGAGGAACCTAACCATCCTGTATCATGTGTAATAGTCAAAAGGCAATTCCAGATAAACGAACAGGCCTGGATTGGCTGGTGTGGTTTGTATTGAAGGGATGGCAGTGGTCATGACCAGGGTAATGTATCAAAGTAATATACATGTTAGAAATGTTCTAAAATGTTGTCTTTAGTTACTGCAATATTATCTGAACAACAACAATGAATTACATTTTATATAAATACATTTATTTAAGCACTGAAAGCAAAAGTGATTTAATGTAGGCCTAGTATTTACTAAAATCTCCTTTTTAAAATAATAAAATGATAAAGGAAATGTTTTTCATGTTAAATATATTAGGCTAATTAAATTGAAAGTACAGTTGACATTCTTTTTTTTAAAAGTTGTTTTACATTATTGTTGTTAACATAAAAATGATACGTCCTTAGCTCTATTTCTAATCTACAAAGTACAAGTCCGAGCTTTTTCCAAACAACCATAATAGTCTTTGTCCTCCAATGTACTACATTACCCAGGAAGCATTGCAATAATGGGCGGTGTTACAAATCTACACTTCATGCAAGCAGCTGACTGTAGCTATAACTTTAATCATTTCATTTTTTTGCCGAAGATACAGATAGCAAACAAACAACCAACAGTCAATGCGTTTATTTTTATTATTCTTTAAATCTCTCTATAATGTTAATACACTATTATAATCGTAACAGCGAGCGAACTAAATAACTTGTTCTCGGTCAGTTCTGTTAAGTTTTTAAAGGGGCTTAGCTTATAAGTTAGCTATTAGCATAGCAGCAGCTAACAGCTCCGTGTATGTGTGCGCAGTTAGCCTGTAGCCGAGCTAACGTTACCTTCTCAAGAACCATCCCTCTCTACAACAACTGACAGTTGGATCCCGGTCCGATTCGTTACTCTCGTGGAAAGAGTGAGCAAACTGTCTACCAAGTCAAATGTAAGATTTGTTTATATTTTTTTTGGTCCTTAGTTTTTCGGACTGGCTTTTTGGTGGCTGAGATTGGAGCTAGTCCATCAGATTTTGCTGGTTAGTTTTGTCAGAACCGTCACTTTACAGTTTGAATGTAAAATTCTCACGAGATGCTTTTTACTCCCAAATTTAACTGTTTACTTTCCTGTTTGAATGTTTGAGACGGTAAACTGTCTTGGGTTTGATGTGCTAACCAGGTGGTCTGATAACAGCAGGTTGTCACCTTTAATGTCTGACTTCCGTAGGATTAGATCTGTTACATGGTCAACATAAAAACGCTTTGTTGTGCAACTTAAAAGAGTTGTTTATCATATCTAAACCCTCAGCATAACACCAACTAATACTCTTGTGCTGGAATCACAGTAGTTTGAGAAGTATACGTGGTCTAGTTGCACAAGGCAAGATGGCAGGCTGATAGTCAAGCCTGATGATGACTCGCTTTACAAAGCTTACCCAAATACCTAAGTCAAAAAAACTTTCAAATACATTCATTAAACGGTGTCTGGCTAACTGGCTTATTAATGAGCCATATTTTCAACAGGCAAGGCCAGGCAGTAACGTTAAACAGTTTAGCTCGAGTCATATGTGGGTTGTGTTTGCACTGTTCATTTGACTCATGATCTTTTATTCCAGGTTGAAGGTTTACTAAACGGCGGACAATGGAACTGGACAACTTGGAGGTAAGGAGTTGGCTGAATATATGTATTTTTGTATTAATTGGCAGTTTAAAATAATTATAATAATATATACATTGATTTGTTTGGTTGGTGATGGATGTTTATCTGTAATAATTAAAGGAGTAGGCCTAGTTCACTTTTTAAAAAAACTTTTGCTGAGAATTTACTCATCCCCATGTCATCCAAGATGTCCATGTCTTTCTTTCTTCAGTCGAATACAAATTAAAGTTTTTTGATCAAAACATTCCAGGATTTTCTCCATATAATAGACTTCATTGGGAACCAAACGGTTCAAGGTCCAAATGAGAGTTTTTTTAGTGCATCTTCGAAGGGCTTTAAATGACACTGAGGGCTTTAAATAAGGGTCTTATCTAGGCCATTTAAAAAAATAAATAAAGTTTAAGTTTTATAAGCACAAATCCTCGCCTTGCTCTGTTCTGTGATGAGCATTCATGACTCTCCTGTTCAAACTCATTCATCAAAATGAACAAATCTTTTTTCGATTCATGACTCGAAGGATCCTAGATAAGACCCTTATACATTGTCAAGTGTCGTTTAAAGCCCTTTGAAGCTGCACTGAAACTCTCTTTTGGACCTTGAACCGTTTGGTTCCCAATGAAGTCCGTTACATGGAGAAAATCCTGGAATGTTTTCAGTTTTCATCAAAACCCTTAATTTCTTTTCAAATGAAGAAATAAAGACGTGGATATCTTGGATGACATGGGGGTGAGTAAATTATCAGCGAAACGTTTTTTTTTAAGTGAACTATTGCTTTAAGGAATAATAGAATCGGTTTGTAATTGTTAAAGGAAGAAATAAAAAAATTAAAATCCCATTGTAAAATTTATGAGTCATTCAGTTTCCTGTGCTTTTTGTTGGCTTTCATTCTGATTTATGTACCTGGTCACTTTAATGCCTTATTGTGGGTAGTATTGATAATGGTCTTTTGTTTATTTAGCTGGGCATTTCCCATGATAGAGAAATATGCACATTGCACACTTGCAAAGAATACTCTATTTATTTTTACTGAAGCTTCAAAATCTCTTAAAATATCCTTAGCTCAACCTCGAAAATGAAACCACAAAAGTTCTGAGTTTCTGAAGTCAATGACATGCTTGTTCCCACCTGTTCTGTGTACATTGTCTGCATGTTCATACAAAGAATTATATAGATTTTAATAGACTGTTTTTATTTGTAGGATGACTCAGTTGGCCCGGCAGAAGATGACACACAACCTCAATTTCCTCTGGGACTTTGTGAGTAATCTCTTAAAGTTTACAAAATAGTATATCTGAATTCCTGGATTCTTTCATATGGTTTTGTATGAAATGGTTCTCAAAATGAATGTCATACTATATCATTTCAAACCTCTTCTTGTTCAGTGCAGGGTTATTCGAGTTTTGAATGTTTAATTAATTAGTTCATTTATTAATAAGGAAAATGGTTGAAAAATATTTTTAGTTGTGGTATTTTAGTGCTGAAAGCGTAAGTGTGTTGCTGGCGAAATTCAAAAGCAAGTAATCATGTTAAATTTCTCAGAACAATCTACTATTATTACAGTATCACTTTAATTTTAATACAGGAGGGTTGTTAAGGTTTCAAGTTCTGGTAGTTCAAAACTAAAATTAATTTGTGGCTATTTGTAGTTTATTACATTTTGGAGTCATAATTGTTCCAGTGCAATGAATGCAGTAATTGTAGTAAGTTTAGTAGCTCAACTAACTAGTAGTTAGCCTTTGTTTAGTTCAGCAAAGTTCTAAATTCAGCAGATTATAATAATTTCAACTTTTGCCATAAGTCAGACCAACACAGGTTCAAACCATATGTTTTCTAAAGCTCATTCTTTCTATGTATTTGTTCTAGTACTGCTTGGAAAACAGATAACCCATCTTTCCATTGCTGTTTTCTTTTGTTTGTTTATGAGCTCTTTATTATCAGCACTGAAATGGTTTTCAAAACACATTTCTGGTAGCAGCTACTCTATTTTCTGCCATATATATTTACACTTATGTATTATATATTCAGCCATTCACTTATGTTTGCCTAAGGCTGAATTTTTTTTTTAAATCAAAAATACAGTAATAATGTGAAAATATTACCATTTAAATTAACTGGTTTCTGTTGTTATACATTTTAAAATGTTTGATGTTTTCAGCATCATTACTTCAGTCTTCGGTGTCATTCAGACATCGTTCTAATATGCTGATTTGGTGTTAATGAAACATTATTTTTAAAGTTAAACACTTCTTAATATTTTTTGTGGAAACAGCATTTGTTATAAATAGTACTTTGATTGCAAAATGTATAGGTTTCATAAACTGTCTTTTATCTTAAACTTAAAGTGCCGTTTTTTTGTTTTACTTGAAAAATAAAATTAGGCAGCTAAACCTGTTTTCAACATTGATAATAAGAAGAAATGATCTCAGGATGATTTCTGAAGGATAATATGACACTGAAGCCTGGACTAATGACCGCTGAAAATTCTGCTTTTCCATCACTCACTGGAATAAATTATGTTTTAAAATATAGAAACAGTTCATTTAAATTGTAATATTTCACAATATTACTGTTTTTTTGCTCTAATTTTTGATCAAACAGATTTCAGCCTTGGTGAGTTAAAGACAACAATAAAAATCTTTCCTAATTTTTGATTTTTTTTAATTTTTGTAGTGTTCTTGTTCCACCTCTTATGATTATTATGATTTTTTTTGTGTGTCTTTTTAGCAGACTCAGAGGCAGTGGAAGTGTTGTGGCAGGTTCGCACCCAGCGGCGACAGGCAGAGCCTGACCTTCCAGACACTGTGACGCGTCTCACCACACCTGAGGGCAGTATTGTGTACCTGGTTGGCACCGCCCACTTCAGTGACAGCAGCAAGAATGATGTTGCCACAGTAAGCATTGGCTTTCTTTTTTATGGGCTCACAACCAATTTTTGAATGTAAAACACCTTAGTATTAGCTACTGATTGACTAAATGCTGTTTTGATTTGATGCTCTTTGCTTTAGACAATCCGAGCGGTCCAACCTGATGTGGTGGTGGTGGAGCTGTGCCAGTACAGAGTATCCATGCTTAAAATGGATGAGAAAACGCTGCTAAAA